ATTTTTATGTGTGTGTATGCCTCTACGATCTAGCTATGCCTATCTATGTGTACAATTCTAGGCCCCTTAAATTGGACCCGCCCTGATCTGATTCACATCGAAGGAGATTGCGGGTGGCACTGCCCGCGAGCTCCTCAGGGTGTGGCAGCTGAAGCAGACTCTCCGCAAAGCCGCACGCCGGTGCCGGCTGAACGTCCGCCGGCACAACCACCCAAGGGCGTTTCCACGGAGGATGGCACGGCTGGTTGCCGAACTCCGCAACCGCCTCTTCCCTCTGAGAGAGAACGAAGAGGAAGCCTAGGCCGGGGAGTGCAGCTGGGGCCCGGGATGACCACCAGCCAGCATAGGAAAATAACTATTCGCTAAAAGCAACTTTCCATCTTCCATCTAACGACATTTCAAACCATTATACTTAATTATAAGCAATGGTGTGCAACTTCAAGACTGCGCATTCCAAATTCATACTTGGCAAGACCAGTTCATAATATAAAATGCACGGATCTAGAGATGATGAAGATATAGAGAGAGAGAGGGAGAGCGGATTAACATCTTCTAATGATACCGGCCGATGGAAATTTCCAATCAATAAACTGAGTGAGCCCTGCCAAAACGCCCCGCCGCAGGACAAAGAACCGAAAAGGCACCAACGGTACAGAAGTCGCCGCACAGGCCCCCCTCCCACCGGACGAGCACAAAGCCGTCCGGTGGGAGGGGGGTGACAGGCGCAGAACCAGCAGAGCGACAAGCAAGGCAAAAAAAGATGGTGTTGTGGCGAATGTGGGTGTCCCCCCTGAAGAGAAAGTCGATGTTGTTCATCCCCTGCAACAAACTGTTCTGATAAGAGGGAGGGAAGGTGAATATGTCTCCATGCGTCAATCAGACATGCCATCAGCCTGCTATTTATCTGCTAATCTAGAGCAATGATACCCCATTTTTGCCCTAATTTCTCCACCCCTGGTAGAGCGATTGTATTTAACGTATGTTTAAATGAGGTGGATCCCGTATGTTGAAATGGCCGGGGCGGGCCAGGGAGAACCTTTCCCGAGGTAGTAAGTATGAAATACCTGGAGCAATCATCCCAAAACCACCCGCATATTTTTCAGCGCGGTAGGACTCGACCACCCAGCTAGTAGATTCCCACTTGATGGCCGACTGAGAGCCCAGGAACTGGTTGGACCTCACCGTGGTTCTCTTCTCCTTCATCGAACTTCTGGCGGCTTCACTTGGCAGCCACTTGGCAGCCACTGGGGGCAAATGTTGCCAAGTGGCTGCCAAGTGGCTGCCTGAGCAAGTGGCTGCCAAGTGGCTGCCTGAGCAAGTGGCTGCAACTGGCTGCAACTGGCTGCCAAGTGGCTGCCAAGCGGCTGCCAAGTGGCTGCCTGAGCAAGTGATTGCCAAGTGGCTGGAAGTGGCGGCTGCGGCTGGCTGCGACTGGCTGCCAAGTGGTTGGCAAGTGGCTGCAAGTGGCTGCAAGCGGCTGCCGAGTGGCTGCTTGAGCAAGTGCTGCAAGTGGCTGCCAGGTGGCTGCTTTGGTAAGTGGCTGCCAAGTGGCTGCCGGCACTTGTGCCACGTCATGGACAGAAGGGGTTTATTGGTCACCCAGGCGGGGGCTCTTCCCTTCGTCTAGTGGACACAAGCGGGGCTCCTTGGGTTTTGCCCTTCCCTTGCTACGTGGAAAGGATCTTTTCATCACAAAGTGCGTGGCAGGCACAATGCATAGTCTGGATTGTTTTTTTCCGTGGCGAAGCACTTCTTCTGTATATCATGAATCAAGGATTCCGGTTGCTTGGAGCCTCGGTCAAGCAATCAGCAGCTTGTCTCTCATGTCCTGATCTCTTTCTGCCAGCGGGCCCATCTGCCCAGCCGGTCGCCATTGTCATGGGGACTACCGTGCTGCGGCTAGCTTTGCCCTGCCGCGAACTTAGTTCATATTTACATCATTACTTCTTTGCACCTTTTGAAGGGGCAAGTCGATAAACTATAGATAGACAGATATATCTTATATATGATATATGATATATCTGTTTATGCATACAAATATGTATGCAATTTAAAAAATATATATATATATATACATACATACATACAGACATATATATATATATAATGCCTGAGCAAGTGGCTGCCAAGTGGCTGCCAAGCGGCTCGAGTGGCTGCCAGGTGGCTGCGGGTGGCTGCCAATTGTAAGTGGGTGCGAGTGGCTGCAAGTGGCTGCAAGTGGCTGCGAAGTGGCTGCCAAGTGGCTGCCAAGTGGCTGCCTGAGCAAGTGGCTGCCAAGTGGCTGCCTGAGCAAGTGGCTGCAACTGGCTGCAACTGGCTGCCAAGTGGCTGCCAAGCGGCTGCCAAGTGGCTGCCTGAGCAAGTGGTCTGGCAAGTGGCTGCAAGTGGCTGCAAGCGGCTGCCGAGTGGCTGCTTGAGCAAGTGCTGCAAGTGGCTGCCAGGTGGCTGCTTTGGTAAGTGGCTGCCAAGTGGCTGCCAAGCGGCTCGAGTGGCTGCCAGGTGGCTGCGGGTGGCTGCCAATTGTAAGTGGGTGCAAGTGGCTGCAAGTGGCTGCGAAGTGGCTGCCAAGTGGCTGCCTGAGCAATTGGCTGCCAAGTGGCTGCCAAATGGTCGCCAAGTGGCTGCCAAATGGTCGCCAAGTGGCTGCCTGAGCAATTGGCTGTCATGTGGCCGCCAAGTGGTTGCCAAGTGGCCGCCAAGTGGCTGCCTGAGCAAGTGGCTGCCAAGTGGCTGCAAGTGGCTGACAGTTCGAAAATCAAAATGATGCACATTTGCTCGCTTTCTGAAAATAAGTTAAAATCACGAAAGGTAGCGTCAGCTACCTGAGTTCTCCGCGCTTCAGCACAAGCTTAGGGGGTATTGGGGGGCCAGCCCACGGAATTCATGGAATTCTCGCCGTTATGTATTGGATATCAATTATAGGGGGCCGCCCCCCCCGAAAATGGTCATGGGTTCAATTCCCACGGGTGACGCGGTCACGGGCCCCCACATTAGAGGCACACTTTGCATGAGGGAGATGTCCCTGTAGTCCAGCATAATTGGTATGCTTCAGCCTCAATAACAGTTGCTGCAAGGGGTCTTAAAAAGGGGTTTTAAATAAACCCCTTTTCGTGCATCATTTCACGCTGCACAAGACACCGTATCATGCAGTCATGCTCTGGATAAAATCATCTTAGACTGCGCAAAAACGTTTTTGGTGTATCATCTTAGAGGCGCAGCATTTTGACACCACTCCTCTCCCACTACACTACCTTTCGTCCGCCTCCGCCTGCTCTCAAGTTACCTAAAACCACTTCAAATTTCCTCAAATCAACTGAAAGTCACAAAATTTCATCAAAATCACTTAAAATTCCATTTAATGCACTGAATTTACTTCTAATTTCTAAAATTCATTAAAGTTACTTAAAATCACCTATAAATTTCCCGTTTTTTGTCCAATTTCCTACAAGTGACTAAAATTATGAAATTCACTAAAATTTTCTAAAATTCCCTACATTTTCGTAAAATCATTTTTAAATTTCCCTGTAAAATTCCTTAAAATTTCTTAATATTCACTAACATTCATTAAAATTCCATAAAATTACCTAAAATGACATAAAATTTAAATTTCCTAAAATTCCTTAAAATCCTTTACAATTGCTTAACATCCCCTAACGTTCCTTAAAACATTCCTTAAATTTCCCTAAAATCCTTGAAAATTCCCGAAAATTCATTAAGATCAGCTAAAGTTCACTAAAATGCACGAACATTCCATAAATTGCTAAAATTCCTTAAAGTTCATTGAACTTCTTTAAAATTTCTTGAAATTCACTAAATTATTCTCTAAAATTCATTACAATTCACTAAAACTCACAAAAATTCACTAAAATTCTTTAAAATTACCTAAGATTCACCAAAATGCTTAAAATTCCTTAACATTCCCTAAATTCCTTTAAATTCCCTAACATTCCCTAAAATTACCTAAAATCACCTAAAATTATTTAAAATTACCCAAAGCTACCCAAAATTCCTTAACATTCCCTTAAACAATTCCCGAAAATTCACTAAAATTCTCTAAAACTCCCTGAAATTACCTAAAACTAACTAAAATTCATCGAAGTTACTTAAAATTAATTAGAACAAATTTCCGCACGTTGTGCAAACGTGTTCTGCATCTCAAATCAGCAATGGTCAGGTCTTCACGGCGACACGTCTCAGAGGTGAACGATGAGGGCTCTCAATATAAGGCTGGGTGGGGCTGAACTCGGAAACACAGCAGAAATAACAAACATCAACAAATCATATATAATTAACCTTCGGCCAAGGATGATAAAGGCGCCGTTTCTAGACAACACTTGACACATCCAGTTTTCACATGTTTTCACGAGACACATTCCACTTTGCGACGAAGAGCTAGGTCAACGTGCTTGGTTTGGTTTCATCAGTTCGCGAAGTGACCTACTACACATGCCAACATTTGCATCGGTTTTGCTGTTTCGTGTTCGTAAGAAGGTAGAACCTGCATGATCCCACCATGTCTCCCACCATGTCGCATCCAGGGGCAAAAACTCATTGTGGACCCGCGCTTGGACAAAAAGGCGAGCGCCCGAACCATGAGCAGAGCTGTTGAGGTTAAGCCGATTCCGACAGGAGATGGTGAACTCATTGGTGAACACAACGGTGAAAACACAAGAGGTGAACCAGGTTGAACCAGGTTGAGCCGGATGTTTTTTACAAACCGATGGTAAGATGCGTGAGATGCGAGTGCCTGCCCTGGCACAGGTGAAACTGTCTCCTGCACCTCTCACCTTTGGTTCGATAGCTGGTGCACCGGAATTGCTTGAGACTTATTTCAACTTACTGTATTTCCTATTAAATATTATCAAATCTTATTAAGCTCAGTCGCAACTTAGTATTCGACTGGAAAAATGTTCTACTCGATTCGCTATTGCTGTGCTGTTTCAGTTTTCATCAACAGAACTTTTCAGCCACTGGAACTGCAGTGTGCGAGGGTTGCTGGCATGGTGGTCACAGTTCTTCGACAGGCTCGGGAAAACTGAAATGTTTGGCAGTTGGAGATCAAACCAAGACAGCTCAGCTGGTTCGAGTACAGTGAAATGTAGTCAATGCAGGTACAAGTACTTGCAGCCTCCCCCACAGACAAGAAGAAAGAGATGTGGGCCAGATATTACAAGGCCTTGCTGAAGTGTTGCAGGCTGTATTTGCTTGCATCCATCTAGAAATCATCGCGGGTGGTCTGACCTGAGGTAGAAGACGAGAGGAAAATCGAAGGTTGGCTTGGCGAACTCAGGACCAAATGGTCACTCCATGCACTGCCATGCTGCGCAGGCCACATCGAAATCCTAAAACCATGTCATGCTTACACTTGCAGATACTTACAAATACTTGCAGGATGCACTGCGGCTTCAAAGGCTCTGATCAAGGACAGCCCGTCCTTTGTGAATTCAAGGCGTGTGGTTCTGCTTCGCGGTCGCCAAATATGTTTCAAAGTGACTAAAGCAGTGTGCGTCAAGCCTCGAGGCGGGTGGCTTTCACAATCCTAATCAGCAGGGGAGGCTCGGACTACAGACGAGCTCAGACGTCGTTTGCGGAGCTTGGCGAAAACACAACAAAATTGGCAAAATCATGAGTCAAAAATAGTCAAACGATGTCAAACCCATGAGTCAATTGAGTCTTGCTGCTCTTACAGTCCACCAGGCCATGCTGGGTCTCGGTGCAAAGCAAATCTTCAGTGTCACTCTTGCAGGGCCCTAGCAGGCGCCGCAACAGAAATTTATGGAATTTTGCAAGGACTGAAAATCCATGAAGTTCCGATGCTCTATTTCGAGGGTTTCTAGTGAGGCACGAGATTTATTTTGGATTTGGTATCAGCATATTAAACCTATGCGTACGACTTGCAGGTTTCGGACCGCTGGAAAGAATCTGATTTGCGGTGACTTCGTGGAGGCACTGAGTTGCAAGTCGCAAGGGAAGTTCTTCAGACCATTTTCAGATCCATATCGATATTGGCATGACATCTTAGGCTCTCCCATGCTCTCACACAAGACCTGATGAACACAACCTCCAAGATACAGTGCGATCAGTGCGGCAATGTATGGCTTTGGTGTGGCCTTCCACTTTCAAGATCTTTCAAGTGAAACCACGGCTGATCTCCCTCAGTGTCAAGGCTGTGGAAGAAGTCGTCGCCTGCGGGCAGACCTTCTACAGGACTGGCCTGCGACGGCTTCAACCGGTGCTGCAGATTTCAACATTTTTTTGGCAAAACGGTTGAAGTCGAAATAAGTCGTAGTCACTACTTAGTCATGTCCAATGTCACCCTTCCCGCCCACAGCTTTGGGATTCTCAGCGAACTCAGAGACTGTTCAGACCATTTCAGACCTGCTCAGACGCATCTTGCAGGCTGGTAGACGGGCATTGGGTTGCCAGGGAAGATTCAAGTGGAAAGGCAGATGGGATTGAACACGGGATGTGTGAGGGTTGGCTTCTCTGGTTTGGCCTGTCTTGTGCACGTGTGTGGCAAGGCTCACTCTTCAGTTTCAATAGTTTTGACAACTGGTTGTGAAAAACAGCAATCATGGCGCAGGTCGCATGTGACCTCCTGGTGAGAGAAAGCCACAAGTGGATCTATGTTTGCAACGACAAGGAGACTGACCGGCAGCAAGTGAAGATCAGTGAGGAGTGAAGTAGAACCCTAGCAACTACTGTCAAATACTAGCAAGTAGGATGGATGAACTTGCGCATGTCTTTTCGTAAATTCAGTGGACCTTGACCTTTCTTGACTCAGAGACAAAACACTGTAAGATACTGTAAGCTCATCAGAGGCTCATCATAGCTTATTTATGCTTTGTGGCGAAGGTATTTCCATGTATTTCGCATCCAACTCAGGACGGAGCGCAGGTTCGGGAGACCCCAACTCGGTCAAATGCGAAGAACAGGGGGAAGAGGCTGAAATACAGGCTGGATCTGGGAGCGTGTGTTCTTGGCATTTCTTTGGCATCTTTTGAACGACCCATGATGTTTCGAAACATTTTGAAACATGAAACATTTTGAAAGACGTTGAAACAGAACATGATACTTTGGAAACAAACCCGTTTGCTGCTTTGGCGCACCTGCGAGGCAACGTGTGAACATCTCGGAGAAGGTCACCACCTATGCCAACGAGGCGAATGTCGTGCCTGTGCCGTTTGGTCGTATTTGTGACCAGTCAAACATGTGAAACAAATACGACATTGTGAAGAAACCTTTTCGCATTTTTTTCGGTAATTTTGGTATTATCTGTATAATTTTTGTATGTCTTTGTCGCGAAGATTTGGGGAAGGTCTTCTTGAAGCTCGCTGATGAGAAGAAAGGCGCGATGCAGCTCGCAGAGGAATGAAATGTATCGACGCAGCATCTCCAGTGGTGAGATGAGCAAGTTGAATATCTTGAAAAGTCTAAATCAGTCTAAATCACTACGACAATTACGACAATGTACGAGTGGGTCAACCCTAGAATTCTTGACTTGGTGACTTGATGTGACTGTCCTGTTGGGTGAGACTTTGCGAGAGGTTGGGTCCCAGCGACCAAGCTCAACTCCAGCGTGGTGAAGATGGCCGGGCTTGGACAACTTGAGATCAGTATCCTGTTTTATCCTGTTTTATCCTGTTTCTCATATGTTTTCATGCAACAGTCGTCGTGCAAACATTCCCCGCAACACACTCTATCTTGACAGTCTTGACTTCACCATGCTGGAACCTTCGCCGTATTGCTGTTGGAGGCTCCTCTTCAACCTCTGGAGCAAAACACAAGGCTCCACGGCTGGGCAGGGCTGTGCTGTGGGGGGCTGTGAACTGCGTTGAAGTTGTTAAACATTGTAGAACGGTTAGAAAACAAAGGTCAAATGACGTTCAACGACGTTCAACCACGCACAAGGCATTTTTCCGAAGCATTCTTTTAGCCTCTGGGAAGGCCTCCCATGGGTGCTCCTGGTGGCCCCCAGCCTTGTGGCCCCGGCCAGCCTTGTGGCCCCGGCCAGCCTTGTGGCCCCGGCCAGCCTTGTGGCCCCTGTGGAGCTGTTCCTTGGAGCGTTTGTTCTGGTGATTTTTTCGAGCGGATCTGCTATGATTCTATGATTCATAGCATTTCATAGCAATGGAAACAATGTTTCCATGGCCATTTTGGGAAACTCCCATTTGGCTGTAAGCTCCAAGTTTTTGGGACGTGAACTGGCGAACTTTTGTGCTCAAAATCATTTTGAGTCAAACTTATCATTCCAGAGGCTTTTTCTGTAAGTCTGTGACTTCTCCAAGGTGAACGGCTATGCCAATGGTTACGGCTACGGTGCTGCGCCACAGCAGAGTTATGCTCCGCCAGCCACTCAATAGGAGTGATCCAATGTCGAAACATGCTGAAACTGGGACCTGAAGATGCACAGAATTACATATATATATATATAGATATTATATACATATATTTCACAGCATTTTGTGGTGTTTGGGTATGATGCTGCCTGAAGCTAGAATGTTCTTCCCTCCAAATTTGCAATTCCCACGAGCAGAGGGAACGTGGAACAAAGTGGAACCATCACCAGAGTAACAGAAAGATTTCTACTATCTTCTACTTCTATACACTCAAAGCAAGTTTCCTCTTAAAGAAATGCTGAATCTCAGAGCCTCACTGCATTTTGGAAGTTTGGGACAAGGTCTGGCTTTGGAGGGTGCGATCCAAGCTATTCCAGTGGCTATGGTGCTCAAAGTTATATGCCGCAGTGCCCAGTTTTGAAGTATCGCCGCATACATGGATGCATTGAATGCATTGAATGCATTGAATGCATTGAATGCATTGCTGTATTTTGCCATAGTCTCATGGATTTCTTAGTTGTTTCATGTTGTTTCCGCATTTTAAAACATCTTTCAACATTTGAAGTTGCCATAGGATCCATAGGATCCATGGGATCCATGGGATCCATGATGCCATGAGGTCACCAGGTGGCTACGGCTGTGGCTACGGTGCGAGCGTCGCACACTTAGTCTGAGCGCTTAAGAAACCGACACCAACAATGTGATTTCAACGTCTTCGACAGCATTTCAATCATTTTGCCTTGATCATTCTTAATCATCTTAATCATTCTTGGATTTAGACATTTTAGAAACATTTGGAGAAACTGATCTTTGACCACAAACTGGCAACCAATTCTCCTCGAATAGTCCTTCCTCATCTCCAACGATAGTGTTCGTGGACAGCATGTGGACAGCTTTTTGCATGTTGCACCATGTTTGCCATGTTTGTTTGTGCAGAAGTTCTCCCACAAAGTAGTCGCCTTCCTACTCGGCATAGGGCGGCGGCGACTTTGGCATCGGTGCTGTGCATGGCCTAGAGCACTTTCAGCACGACGAAAGAAATGAACTTTTGCGAGTTCGCACCCGCCATGGGTCAAGAAAGGTCAAGAAAACACCACTATTTAGCCTATTCAACATCTACAACTATGATACTATGCCTGAAAAGTCTTTGAGCAGAGGACACCGAAAACGGAAAGTACAAAGACAGCACCAAAAGACGGACAATTATCACCACCGACTCCCTGATGCCTAGACTCCCTGACTCCCTAACTCCCTGATGAGGCCCCTGCTGGACCTCTAGGGGCTCCGCCTCTAGCGGCTCCGGCTGGTGGCGACTTTGGCATCGGTGCACCACCAGTGGGCAGCTAAGGAAGGGAACAATGGGAACAATGGGAACAATGGGAACAATGGGAACAACACAGGTGGCCATATGGAATCCATATGGAATTCATATGGAATCCATATGGGAGATGATGGAACATCATGGAACATCATGGAACATCATGGCTATGGATGGAGCTATAGCACAACATAGCACAACGCTGAATGGAGATCACGGTGATAAGGCGAAACCGGCGAAACTTTTCTTTGTTCCCCATGATTCTCTCAGAAATTGAAGCAACCTTTACAACATGATACCTTGTTTCCCTTGTTTCCCTTGTTTCACAACCTGGCTGGACAGAGACTGCTTTGGAAAGAATCTGTCCGTGCCACAGAATGCCCGAGGCTGGTGGATTTGGCATGGCTTGGAACCCAGTGAGCATGAAATAACTAAGCACAAAACGCCTCGAATGCGTGAGACAAATGCGTGAGACAAGCAGAATGAAATGACTTTTGGCATGGCCGTCGGGTGCTCAAGGCCAGTGGGTGTGGCTACCCACAGTAGAGTACTCAGATTGACTCAGATTGACTCAGATTGACTCAGATTGACTCAGACCATTGCTTCTCATTGCTTCACAATTTTGGCGCAGAAGCCGCCGGTCTTGCGTCTTGCGCAGTGTTCCCAGGTCCAGCGGAGCACGGAAACCAAGGGACTGCCCCACTGCCCCCAGGGACTGCCCCCAGGGACTGCCCCGAAAGACAGCACAGGTGGCTACACGGCTACACGAAGCATTGCAGAGCAACAGCATGGCGTGCTACTGTGCTGAGGGGTGGAACAGTGGCTGTGGTGGCTGTGGTGGCTGTGGTGGCTGTGGTGGCTGTGGTGGCTGTGGTGGCTGTGGTGGATTCAGGCCTGGCCCAAAGAAGCAGATTCTACCAAGTCCATCCAAGTCCATTGAACTTGACATCAAGACACTTCAAGCACGTTTAAATACATATGATTTATATGATAATAATTATAACATATTCTCAAAATCACGAAAGACGGGTGAACTGCAGGTGAAGCGAATTGCAAGTGAAGGCCTTGGCAGCCTTGGCTGCATGAAATTTGAGCACGAACACCTTGGGCATCTTGGAGAAAACGTAGCATGCACATCTTTGATGATCTTTGATGATCTTTGCCTATTAAGGGTCAATGGATGTCAATGGTCCAACGAGATCCAATAGGTCTAGTGCAGTTGCACAGGGAGGCACCAAGAGGATATGGCCTGTAGAACGGCATAGCATGGACGGGTCGTTTTGCCTTTTCTAAGGGATGCACCTTGGTCTTTGGCTGTATCAACTTTTTTTTGGCAAGTTCCCTATTTATACCGTGCAACAGAATACAATCGTAATTAATTAATCATATAATATCACACACACACATATATATTTAAGGGCTGCCGCCCCTGCCGCCGACCCCGGAAAAGAGAAACTCGCAATGGTGTCAGCTGGCTTCATTCGAGTGTTCTGTGAGTTGTCAGCCTGGATGCTTTATATATACATTATATATATATATATGCATCAAATAGTATATACTTGTGTGTTGAATTGAAATTTTGCTAGTCCCTATCCCTGCCATGAAGCTCAAGCATCCATCCTTTTGCTTTCCGTTTTCGGGGGTGGTGTGTCCTCCTCCCCGTGCGCGAGACATAGTCTTCGCACGGGAAAGGCACATCAGTGAATCATAAAGAGTTGTTTGAAAGCAAAAGAATGGATGCTGACTGGCTGTCCTGGATCATGAGCATGGTGTCTAGGGTATAACTGGTATATAACATATAAACTGTGAAAAACATGGGTCAAAAAATGCTAAGCTCATTTTGGGTTCAACCCACTTTTAGCGATGAGCATCGCCAGCCTTGCGTGGTGGATGCTTCCGTCAAGGTGCTGAGAGGAGCACAACTGCTGCTGCTACTGCCTGGCTGGATGCTGGATGCTCCTGGGATGGTCCGTTAGCTACTGATAAACTGTCTTGGGAGTTCGTTCAATGATAAGCTAATAATTAATATAGTTAGTTAACCTGAGGTTAGTTACGGTTAGTTGGTTAATGAAGTCAGTGTTTCAAAGAAATGACGAACTACACAAAAGGCTAATGTCATGGTCACTGGGGAAGAACCCCTCAAGCTTAGGTTCAGGAATCGGTTCCATAGTATGTAATAGACAAAATTGTTGTTTTTGAATCTGTTACAGTATATGTTCTATATAATAATATCAATATATAATATATATAGTACATATCTAGCTTTTCTGATTTGTTCTGATTTTGTTGGGATCATGTTGACTTTTTTGAAGTCCCACTTTTCACCAGTGAATGCACAACTGCAGCAATGTATGCTACCGAGTTGTGTCCCACGGTCACCCTCTCAGTTCAAGTTGTGCAACTGATCAAGATGGGGCCCCCAAATTTTAGCGAAGTTGGAGATTCTAACCTCAATTTCACAAGGGTTCATGGTCATTATATGGTCATTATAAATTAATCAAACAAACAAGACTGGTATGATTAATGGGGTAAATTAAAACCAACAAACAAAACTGGGGAGAGCCATCTTGTACTACAGTAGACTGTAGACTATTTCCATGGTAGATGATGATGACAAGAATCCGCTGATTAGATCTCACATTTGCTGCCTAATGATGCACAAAGTGAACATGTTCATGTATGTGTCTTTCTTTTCTCTGAATTTGCTTTCTTGCTGATTCAAACCTGATTCTTTGCAAGTTGCAAGCGGCCGCAAATCACTGGATGAGAACGTATAGGCTTCCGCAATGAGTTATTATTCCATTATTCTTCCATTTTATCCACATGTTCCCGATATTATTCGTGGACTCTATAGGGACCCCCAACAATGGTACCCTATTCCTATAAGTTTCCCATAAGGTTGGGCCTTTCTTATGGGAGTAGGATGGGAGCCTTGTGGGGATAGAGTACCATCACTGCGGGTCGCTATGAATTCCCCCATATTCACCAGATTCCCCATTATATATATATATATTCAATGACATTTATTAAATCATTTTATATCCACCAAATGATTGTATGTTCCAACATACCCATTTAGGACCATGTTAGAACCCCCTTCTACGCCTTCTTGGTGGTTTAAACATGTTGGACCGCCTTCAATTACGTTCATTTTATCATGATTGACCTCTGTTTTACCTATGATTTACCTATGTTTTACCTATGAATTACCTATGTTTTACCTAGGGAGTGGTTAACATGCCCCGATTATTCCCCATCTCCGGCCTCCCCGCAATCCCGCCGCATTGGCGCCGGGCGGGCGCGCCGTGCCGGCGCCCGCGCTGCCACCACGGTGGCGATGGTCGTGCATCCTGGGGAGAATGGGATGAAGGGATCAATGGATTGGTTTGTTGGGGAAAATCTTAACCGGAAACCATCGATGTTCCCACTCAATATATGGGGTGTTCACCAGTAAATTTTCCCCAACAAACCAATCCATTAAAGGAAAGATTCATGGACACATTGGGATTATCAATGATAAATGGGATATGTATTGGGAATTTTCAATGATGTTGTTGGGGATAATTGGATGATATTGGGATTATCACACTCTTGGGATATGTATTGGATGATCAAATAGATGGATTTTTCAATGATAATTGGATAATTGGATGATATTTATGATTTTCACCATGGTATTCATTGGGGTTCATGACAAGTTAGGATTGATAACTCCCCAGGAAGGTAGATACAGGATATGTTTTGTTTGTTTTTAGATGTTTTCGGATGTTTATAATAGTGGCAAAGTATTCTGATGACAAAATATGATGTTTCCATTGGGATTATCATACTCTTCTAAATATTCACTGGGATCTAAGGGAAAAATCGGGATTCATTTTTTTTTCTGAATGTTGGGATGATGATATGTTTGTGATATTGGGATGTTTATGTTTTTTTGATCACAAAAGCAGCAGGATTAGTATTATGAGAACATCTGAAGGGAACCATGTTTTTTGTCCTATCACAGTCATTCATAGATGCAGGAAAGTGTAGGAAATAACCTTGTTCAGGATGGCATATGGGAAACAGGTAGGTAATATAGAGAGAGATGATATCATTTCATCCTGCGTGCAATTGGGATGAAATGATGAAATTATTTTTCCAGCCGTAGCTGCCCATGGAAAAGCTAGAAAAATAGGGGAAGTTGCTTCTGAACACACTGAAAACCTCAGTGTCCTATTTTGGAAAACTAGGATCTTGTATGGTTATGAGCTTATTTCTGAAGCTAGGTCGTTATTTAGCACTGAATTTTTGATTTGTCAAGAACACTAAAAGTTTGTTTCGGAATAAAGATGTGAACGATCAGTCACGTTCGGGTTTGTCTGATGGGTAGGGTATCGTAAAGCATAAGATTTAAGTTCTTTGCAAGGTCCGTGTGCTTCTTTGATTGTGTTAAGTCCGATCATCAGTGGTGGGTATGGACCGCAGTCTTGCAGCGTCTTTTGAAGCAAGGCAGGGGCTCATGGATTGAAACAAGAGGGACAATGTATATAGGTATACAGTGTGATCACATTGAATAAGGACATTTTTCTGCGTATCTGCGGACATTTGATATTAGTGGTTCTTCTCAGTAAGGTTATTTCCCACCACAGTCTCCAGAAAAGCAGTCTGGACACAAGAGGAATTTTCGTGTCTAAATGTACATTTCCTAATAGCTCTAGCTGTAGGCTTGTCTCCGAATGTGAGCGGCCTGTTTGTTCGTCATGTCGCTGGATGTGTATCGGCTGTCTCCAGCTCGCTATGAATTTCTGCGTGACATCGGACGAGAAGTTTTTCGAAGTCAGAGCAGCGGTAGTGGCACATTGGTTGATGCGGTGGCGAGTGTGGACATTGCGGGGTACATTGGTCGGCGGGGGAAGCTGTTTCGAACGCAGGATGCTTGCGAGACCTTCTTACATAAGAATCTGAAAGACTTTACCGATTTGGCACAATTTACGCGTGTGATGACGCCTGAATTTGTGGGAGCTTTGCATGAACTTGAAGCACAAAGGGTGGAGAGACCGAAGGTGTTCGCCATAGGGGCGCTGCTGGAGCATGGTTTGTCTATCCGCTTGATCACAGAGGGAAAGGACGCTGAGCTGGAAGAAGTCGCGCGAAGATTGGAGGAGCTGCTTTCGGATTGGGAGAAGGGGGTTCGAGGGAAGACATCCGGCACAGCATTTGCAGCTTGGCAGAAGACATTGTCAGCCGCCCGGCACTTCGTGAAGCTTTTTCAGGGAGTGGTGGAAAGGAGGCAGGACAAGCGTGCGCGCCTTGAAGATTTTCCGTCTCAGGTGGGTTTGTGGCACAAGCCTGTGAATTTTGTGGAGCTAGGCCGCGGCCTGCGGGTGTTGTTCGGGGAGGATGACGTGCGCTCGATTGTGGTGTGCCTTGCCCAGATGTATCTGTTGATTCGCAAATTGCTTGAGTTGCATCGAGCTTCCGAGCTGTCTGCGCAAGACTTTTCTTATTCATTTTGCAATGTGTTGGGGTTTGGCTCATGGAGCAAGGTGATGATGTGGAGCTGTCGAGCCAATCCAAGAGTTCAGTACAGGATTGGGCAATCTTTCTTGCAGGATGAGGTGACCTTTTTGAATTCTTGTAGGCTACTTCGATTGCACTGTGTTGATTCAGTGAATGATCCGGTCCAGGTACAGACGCGGAAGAACATTATGAGCTGTTCAACAGATTGTAGTGCAATGGATCGCTCCCGGACCATTCTTCGTGCAGTGATGGTTGTGCATGCAACGCGTCACTACGAGTTCTCTTCATGTATCCGAAATCAAACCTTGCTGTCGCCAGACCAGGTCCTGGCTTGCTTTTCTCGTGGTCATGTTGATGAGGGCCTGGTGCGACGGTCAACGTCCGAGGGTCGGTTCATGTGTGGCCCTGCTTCGCAAGTCCTCGAGCTTTTGGGACGCTCGAATGTGATGGATACTTTCACGGGCGGAGTTTACCACAGAGATTTTGAGCAAGCAGTGCTCCATTTCAATGCTTTGAGTGGTGCTGCGGGCATTGACGACGTGGCGATTTTGGACCAGGTTTGGGACTTGATCAAAGGTTTCAAAGGATTTGGAGGTGCTGGCAATTGCGAGGGTGGCAACGTGAAAGGGTTCGTGGCGAAGAATATTGTGTACCAAGGCTTGCGGAACATCTTGCATGAGTGTGGCCAGAAGCGTGCTCAGTCGGAGAGGTTTGTTTCTGGCCCGAACCCTTGCAAGCTGGTGACGGTAGCTTTGCAGAAGCGTTCTTGCTCTCGAAGTGAACACAAACAGTTTTACAAAGATGTTCTTGTTGGTTTGCGTGGTGTGCGTGTGCAGTATGGCACAGGGGAGCTGTGTGATTTTTGCGGCGTTGATGTTATGATTCTTCAAGACAATTTATGCAAATTGGTCGAGGTGCTGCAGACAACCTTCACCGGATTATTTTTCGGGAAGAGCCGGTGTTCTGTGGAGGGAGAAGCTTCGAGCTCGAGTTCAGCTTCTGATTGATGTACCCGACCTGTCGGGTGTGATCAAGATGTATTGGGTTATTGTCTCGGAAGAGATGGTGTTCGGTGGAAGCAGCAGCTTCGATCTCAAAGGCAAGTTCATGACCTGGTCTTTGCTGGTTGGTGCTCGGCTCATTTGGTCGGTGACGACGGGGAGACGCTGAAGTGACTTGTCTGACAAAAACACTCATTCAGCAATCAACTAAAAGTATCATTGTGACGATTATCGTTGTTACGTCTCATCATTCACTGTCATTCAGGAGCATTCGCCAGCACAATCCGTTGCAGCATTATTCTTGGATGGTCATTCGGTCATTCGATGGATGAGATTTGCCTGAGGCTATCCCCTTCAGCGCGCCGGCCTCTAACTACTTGGCCACACCCTTGAGGTTGACAAACACACCCACTGCGGGGAGACCTATGCTGCTGGGGAGTCAGAAGTGTGGGAGCCGTGTCGCCTTTGGGAGAGGCTTTCAGAGAAGATGTGACCTTCAAATGGGAGATCAAGTGGAGATCAAATGGTGACTTTGGGACAAAAAACCCAGTTGGTGTGGCTCAAAATTCCGGTAGGAGCATGGTAGGATCAAGACTTAGATGTTCTCAGAAAATTGGATGAATCAACAAGCTCAACAGATCAACAGATCTTAGACCATCCCAAACTTCAGGTTAGCGATGTGTCCTTCTCCTTTGCGGCGGGCGTGGCCATTGGAAGGGCATGGGCAGGGGCCCCAGGGGCCCCCGTTGCATGGTCGGCCCTGTTCTGCTGGAAGTTTCAAAATCCCTATTGGATGATTCGTTCGGGGATTAACTCTACCCTTGATTCATGGATATATCGGCTGGTTGCTGGTTTGGAACATGGCTTTTATATGCTTTTATGACTTTCCAAAAATTTGGGGATACCCCGAATGTTTATGGAACATATCATGATATACACCTGGTTGGTGGTTGGGAACATTTTTTATAACTTTCCATATATTGGGAGCAATAATCCCAACTGACGAAGTCCATCATTTTTCAGAGGGGTGAGCATTTGAAGAACAATTTCTGGTAGATCTGGTAGGATCCATAGATATTTTTCCACCTTCCGGACCTTACGGCTCGTCTTTTTCCCCACAAAACTCGGTGGAAGCTTGAGGCTGCAAGCCGTCTGAGATGATCATCGACAACTCCAGGAGCCCGGTCAACAAAAATGGATACACCATGATACACCATTGATGGATGTCTGGTTGGTGCTTTGGAACATGGCTTTTGTTGTGAAATATTTCAAAAAATGGGATGATAGATCCGAAAGCCATTGACGAACTCCATCATTTTTCAAGATGGTTAGTGCACCACCAACCAGATGTTAAGCAATGGTCATAAGCAACGATGGGATCCACTGCCTGAATGGAGCATGGAGCTGAGCCATCCATTGCACAGATATGGCTATAGTGCCAGGGAAAGAACCATGAAATCTGAGATTTTTTTTGAGGATTCACATGTCAGGCACATGATGCCCAGAGGGTCTCTGATTTAAAATCACCATAGTTAGTGGCGATGAACCAATCTTTCGGACTGTTGGACATTTCCCAATTACCCTCTGGTAATTTAACATAGCTATGGAAAATCACCATGATTAATGGGAAAATCCACTATAACTGATCATTTTCAATAGCTATGTCTATGTTAAATTACCAGAGAGTATTGGGAGGTTCCCTCCACCAGATCCTACGTGTTAGGCAGTCTCTGCAGCTCACAGACTGCAGTCTCATTCCAGGCTGGATTTCACGGGCAGATCATTTCGGCTGATCAGAATGAGTGGTGGATCAGAACACATTAAACTTTGAGTACTATCATGTATTAATATCCATGTGCATAATATTACATATATATATATAGTATATTGCAATTTTGAAATATCTAGAAACTGTGCTGAGTTGAGGCAGTCCAAAGACTTTACACTTCTCAAAGTTCTGCACAGGTCAGAGCTACAACGTGATCGTCTACATCGAAGAAGTCGTTGGAGATGTGGTGGTTCACTCAGACCATGGGAGCTTCTACTTCATGGTTCCCAGGTGTATTGCTGGTCATAGTTTTGAGTAATTAAGATGATCCATTCCTATAAATCACCACCAAGGTAAGGTAGACCGATAGACCCATTTGACGAATACTTTCCCAACCCTTCGATATGATTTTTTACTGTCATCTAATTTTATACACGATCATTTTAAAACTCATTTTATCAGGTTTTCCCTCCCAGCTTGAAGTGGATTCCCATTCTAGGTTCCAGGTTCCATTGGTTACCCGGGCACTGGGCCAAGGAGTTTGGTCTTCCGTGGAGATCACCGTGCCATTGACTGCAGCAGTGGAGGTGGGGACAGCCGTTGTTGAAATTTGGAGATCTACTGAATCTGTTCTGTCAGGATCCATTGGCCAGAAGCTACTCCGATTTGACCGTGACTCGGCTTGCATCGGACTGACCTCGTTGCGCGGCTGCACCCGGCTGCACGTTGAAACAAGGTGCAGCCTGGGCAAGACTACGTCTACCATGTGAGGGCGGTGAACTTCATTGGTGTTGGGCCAAAGCCTTGGAATTTCACCATGAATTCCTGAGTGGAAACAGGCCACCATTTAGTTCGATGCCATTAATACGGGATTTGTCATTGCCATGTTTCATGACACCGAAGGGTATATCAATTCTCTCAATGTTTTTTCTGGTCAAAAAACCTCTATATAATAATGATGCTTAAGGCTTAAGCATTCAACCATGAATTCACCATCATTTTTTCTGTCAACCAAGGCAACCATCTCCAGCATCAATTTCCATCCGAGCAGGAAGTCTGGAATCTCAGAGCCGGGCTTCTCACCTTGGAAGGGGATTTAACCACTATAAATGGTGATTTAATCGGGATTTAATGGGGATTTAATGGTGATTTAATGATCATTTACCCTCCGGTAAGTAAAAACAAGTGTGGGATTTTAATGGAATTCTACGGGACTTCGGGATTTTCATGGGATAATGCCCTTCGGAAGTTGCGGATGAAACTTTTGAAATAGCCTCTGGTAATTTAAGATCCATTATATAATGGTGGAAAAAATATACATTAATTCGATTTCATAAGTAATGGTTGATAATGGGATGAATAGGTACCACAATTTGAGGAACAGTCTATCCAGTCTGGGCATCTCAAACAAAATGAAGCCCTTTGTCTTCCCGGATTTGATCTGATTTTATAAGATGCCCCTCTTGTGAATTCAGTTTTTTTGGCAGATTCTTTCTGATCTTGATGTGATATTTGGTACGTCCAGGAATCTTGCCTCTTGACCGTATGTTGGCACTCAAACTGAACGACCTAGAACGACATCATCAATAGATGATAATAGATGTGGATCAGTTCCACACTCTGTCGATGTGAATGGCTGGAGCGGTGCCAGATGTGCCAGCGGCACCTGCCTTGCCGATCATCGCTTCCCGCGCACTGACGTCCCTCACGGTGGAGTGTGGCGCTTGGATGGGAGCTGGTAGGAAACCATCATGAGGATCCTGGATGTTGCCATGGCACCCAGAGGAAATGGGGAATGATGAAACTATGAAGGAGAAACCAGAAAAATATGGAGTAAATGTCCGTAATTATTCTGCGGTATTTTGGGGTGATTTTCTCAAGTAGCACTTCCTGACATGTGCACGTGTTTGAGTCGTGGCGGAAAGTTGCCGTACCTATGGGAAAAGTTGCAAAAGGCCTTGTTTTTGTGCGTTTCCAGCGTGACGTAGCTGCATTTTCCGTGGCAGGCGTGGCACTTCGTGACATGTTGGTAGAAAGTTGCCGTACCTATGGGAAACGTTGCAAAAAACGTTGTTTGTAGATGTTTCCACCGTGACGTAGCATCGTTTCGCGTGGCAGGCGTGGCACTTCGTGACATGTGGATGTGAGACTTTGCACTCCACACTTTACACTCCACACTTCATACTCAACACTTTATACTCCACACTCTAAAGATGTGGTTTGGGACACTTGCAACTCCACACTTTACACTCCACATTTCATACTCAACACTTGACACTCCACACTACATTCGACACTTGGCACTCCACACTCCATACTCCACACTTTACACCTTACACTCCACACTCTACACTCCACACTTTACACTCCACACTTCACACGCAACACTTTACACTCCACACTTTAGACATGTGGATGTGACACTCTCCACTCCACACTTTAGACTCCACACTTCATACTCAATATTGATACTCCACACTCTATACTCTACACTTTATACTCCACACTCTACACTCTACACTCCATAGTTCACACTTTACACTCCATACTCTACACTTGATACTCCACACTCGAGATTTGACACTCCACACTCCACACTTGACACTCCCCACTCGACACTGTACACTCCGCACTCCACACTTGACACTCCACACTTGATACTCCACACTTGACACTCCACACTCTACACTCTACACGCACACTTCACACTCCACACTTTACACCCCACACCTCACACTCTACACTCCACACTCTACACTTGGCACTCCACACTTTACATTTTACTCTTTACACTCCACACTCCACACTCTACTCTTTACACTCCACACTCTACACTTGACACTCCATACTCCACATTCTACATTTTACAGTCCAGGAATAGACAGGATCACTAACTAGCTATGAAACTAGGGACCGTTTTAAGAAGAACATCGTTGGAGCAGGGGCAATGTAAACATTGGTAACAAAAGTACCAGACGGTTTGAAATAGAATCCCTAGAATAGACAGGATGACCAACTAGCTATCAAATTAGGGACCGTTTCAAGACGAACATCGTTGATTGAGTTGACGGCGCACTTTGGAGCTGTCATGAAAACAAAATTGTGTTCGGTTGTTGTCGCCATTGTTCAAAAGGCGGTCCAGCATTTGCTGTGTTCAACAGGTTGGACATGGTGTGTGTGTGTGTTTATTTCCGATGACTAGTTATAGAGGAGTTTGTTTGATGCTGGAAGTTGAGTGGCTGTGACCTATGTGTCACACTCGGGCAGGTTGGAACGTGTGACATAGTAGGTAGACTAGGGATCGAGCAGGGGCAATGCTAACAAAAGTATCAGACCGTCTGACATAGAATCCGTGGAATAGATAGGATCGCCAACTAACTAGCTACCAAATTAGGGACTGTTTTAAGAAGACAGGATCACAAACTGGCTGTCAAAGTAGGGACCGTTTTAAGAAGAACATGGTTGGAAAAGGGGCAATACAAAAAACGGTAACAAAAGTACCAGACCGTTTAAAATAGAATTTTTGGAATAGACAGGATGACCAATTAGCTATGAAACTAGGGACCATTTAAAGAAGAACAGCGTTGGAGCAGGGGCAATGCAAAAAATGGTAACAAAAGTACCAGACCGTTCGAAATAGAATCTTTGGAATAGACAGGATTACCAATTAGCTATGAAATTAGGGACCGTTTGAAGAAGAACATTGCGGCGCAGGGGCAATGCAAAAATTGGTAACAAAAGTACCAGACCCTTTCAAATAGAATCCCTGGAATAGACAGGATGACCAACTAGGTGTACCAGACCGTTTGAAATAGAATCCTTGGAATAGATAGGATCACGAGCTAGCTATCAAACTAGGGACCGTTTTAAGAAGAACATCGTTGGAGCAGGGGCAATGTAAACATTGGTAACAAAAGTATTTCAAACCCCTCAAACTAGGGACCGTTTTAAGACGAACTTATTTGATCGAGTTGACGGCGCACTTTGGAGCTGACCATGAGAAGAATATGTCAAATATTCGGGTTCCCAAAGAAATCCTCCTTTCACGGTGTCTGGACTTTAATCTCAGCTCAGACTCAGATCGGAGTCAGCTCTGATCCAAAATTCTGAAGAAGGATTTCACAGTTATAACATGTTATAAACAATCATGGGGATTCAAAAAAGGCATCCCCATTTTGGTGACATCTTAAAATAAAAACGGATGTCACCTTTGCTGCGGATGGGTCGAGAAGGATGCCTGGATGCCTCCAGGTGTCGTCGTACCCTTTGATCATCTCGCTCTATGCAGGGCGCAGCTTGGAGGAAAATCAGGGGGATTCAGGGGGAAGCTGACCATGGGGAAACCATGACGGAATTGGATGTTTTTTTTTTCAGGGAATCTGTCCATAAATCAGAAAAACCTAGAAGAACCATAGAAAAACCGCAGAAGAACCATAGAATCGACTTGAAGCCGACGGGCCGTGACGAGGTCGAGGGGAAGACATGACTGGCTTGGGAGGCAACTGAAGCCCAGTTGGAGCGAGGGTTGCCACCTGGCGATGTTCTGGTAACACTCAAATTTTCCCCGTGTTCTTTGGCCAAAAAGAAACCAGTGACGTGGTTCATTACACCATCAAAATTGATCCAAGCTGTTTATTTTTTGCTTATTCTTGCTTTTGATACTCAAAAGAAGTGCCTTTCGTCCGCCAAGTTTGTGGTTGCGCCCTAGTGACTTGACTGAGAAAATTCTTTGAAAAGTGGCAAGCTCTACAAATTGAAGACCCCAATTATGAAAGTACACTTATAATATAATCTTATATAGGCATGTTACTATTTCCCAAGAACGGTTTATTTTATTCCCATGAAACCTGAAACAGAATGGTCAAGAAACATCTCACAACTCATGGCTTCCAGTGGTTTCCTGAACATTTTGCCATTGACGTTCTTTTTCCAGCGCCAGGTGCCGAAAGTATCGTTCGCTTTGCCAAGGAGCAACACCGCAAGGCGGGTTCTACTTCAGGGGCGCGGGCCTCAATGGGTTCATACCCCCAACATACCCCAAGTAATATATAGAATATCCCCACTTATATATATGGGATTATATGCGATTATGTGACCACTTACTAACTAAGTAGGATGAACATCCTGCGATTTTTTCATACCAAATGGGTGGATTTTCCATCACTGAGGCTAACGCACGTTTTTATCTATCGGGGTCTCTTTTTGAAAAAAAAACAGGCTTACCCTCTGGTAAACTTTCACATAACTATGGAAAGATCCACCATGTTCAATGGGAAAATCCACTATTTCAATGTGGTATTTTCAATAGCTATTTTGACATAACCAGAGGGTACTCACCAGTTTGAAGACATAGGATGATCCTCCAAGAGTTTCCGGAACTTCACCTGGGAGGTAACTCACCAAGTTTCACCGGTGAACTTTTTGGGCGATCGAGACAACGAGACGAGACTGAAGATGTTAGGTATTTGATGGTATTTTCCTAGCATTAACCGGCAAATAACTCTGAAAGTGCAATACCAAAAAAACTGCATAAACGATATAAACGATTATTTTTGGGAGTGCACATTTTTGCTAAGAGTTTGAGATAGCTATGGAACATTCGAATTTAGGTGAGTCCTTTACAGGACCAAGGGGATGGTCTATTGATCATGGTAGATGTTTGATGGTTCCATGTGTCAAAACATCATAAAGCATCCACATACCCATAGGATCCATGTATGGTATATATGCTAACATTTGGGGTATATTGATGGGATCCATGTTACCATATATAGCAGCACCATGGATCCTATGGGATATAGTATCATTATATGAGCTCATATATCATTAATATTAGGAGGCTAGATTCTCGGCTAGATGTAGCAACATCTTCTTGCACGTGATTTTGTTGTGTCAATGGTCGCTGAATGCTATATCCAGAGGTCCTGGTTTTTTAGGATCAAATTCCATGGCTTAACCGGTGATACCCCCATAGCTTAGGACACCTCCATTCTGAACCATTAAAGATTGTGAACCATCATCTAAGCAAAGAAACACTAAATGGAACATATCAGCCTATGACATGGTTAATTAACCATGGAAGCTACATGATGAAATTAACCTATGAACATCTCAACGCCCTTAACGGACTTACGACGCGGAACCGCCTCCGCCGGCAGTTCTTTTCCAAGTCTCCCGACTGGGCCAAAGAAATGCCCAAGTGGCCAACGCAGGCGTGGCTGGTGCATGCTGGTGCATGCCACACATCACGTTTCGATGGGTCAAACACCATGTAGAAAACCCACAGATGAATGGAATATCTCCAATTACATGAATATCTATGGTCTATGGGTTATGAATATGGGTTATAACTCAACATGGTTAATATATTTAGTTGGTTTTTACCCTCAATATATATATATACACACATACGACGATTTGCTTATTAAAAGGGGATCCCCAAAACCATGGATTTCAATACTAAAATGGTCTAATTATTATAATTGTTTCTTGATTTGGGGGTACCCCATTTTAGGATCCCCCCCATATTTATCCAGGAACTCGTGGCCGTATGGCGGCCGTTGTTCCAGGTTTTTGCTTCATACTTTAGCGGCCAGATATCCTGAAGTTCCCAGCAAAGTTGGGGCGCCCAGGACGCTTTGCCTCCAAGCAGGGCAGATGATTGTAATATGGGGTCACGACTTGTTGGTATGTCTAATGGCCATTCCAGGAACCGATCTATTGGAGGTACCTACCATATAAATTCCATGTAAGGCCTAGGATTCAGGGCTATGTAAGGGGAGAAAAAACAACATACCCTCTGGTAAACTAACATAGCTATTGAAAATGGCCATAGAAATAGTGGATTTACCCATTAAAAATAGTGGATCTTTCCATAGCTATGTTAGTTTACCAGAGGGTAAATCCCATTAAATCCCATTAAATCCCATTAAACCACCATTTTCCTATGGTTTTCCTATGGTTTTTTCTGTACATGTCGATTGTTTGGGGTCTCCATGTGGAAACTGCTCTGCTCGAACACTCCGAAACTGAAACGGCCCGCTCTGGCAGAGCCGAGGCCGATCGTGTGGCAATACAAAACTTCATGGCAGCTTTGGGGCCGGGATTCTCAGCTGCCACAGATCTATACAAGCTTACGGTAATATATATATATAATATATATAACATATAATATATATATATAATATATATATAACATATATAATATATATATAATATAATATATATATATGATATATATATAATATATATAACATATATATATGATATATATATATATGATATAATAGTTATAAATATCATGTAACAAACTAACCCGTGTCAGTTGATGTTGATAAAATGGCCGATTCGGTGATCGCCTTGACTTAGCTGAAGAAATGTCTTAGACCTGGGTTCGCCTTTTGAAAACGCATTAGGATGTGTTAGGATGAATCAGCAAAACTCCTAGATGCCAATGACTCAAAAGAAATAGAAATTGTGTATATCATTTCTTTCTTTTGGGTCATGGTGAACATGATTATCCACCAGATGGTTTCATGTTACCCTCTGGTAAATTAACATAGACCCTGGCAGTCATCGGGGTTGGAAGACTAGTTTCCATCAAAAATTGGTGATTTCCAGGGTCTATGTCAATTTACTAGAGGGTAGATATGACATGACCAATTTTGTGGTCACGACTTGGCACCCCACTTGTTGCCAGTGGAATGAGAGTACTCTTCATGCAGTTCACTGTTCTTTTCTCGACATATGTATAGAGATATGTATATATATATATATCACTTATGTTGCGACACTAAGGAATCCTTAAGGATACGACTGATGATAATGACAAGATTGAAGCATGATTATACATATTTATACACATACAAGAATGATGTAATTCTGACATGGAAGTAGGGTTCTCATGGATTCGATGCAGGCTGATTAACGTCAAGGCCGCTGAACTGGGAATTTTCATCCTGAAAATCTTGGGAACCTGGGGGTTTCTCACCATGAGTTTAAGCATAAAATGTGTATGGGAAGTGAAAGTTTTTGGTGGATCTAAAAATCAACCATGGCATGGGTTTGAGGTGGACATCTGCCGAAAGTCGGGGGTTTTTGTTCCAAATCTCAAGGTTTCTCATAAGGTATCCTACTATCCGATGCTGTCAAGATGAGGATTTGTTTTGAAGAAGTGGGGATGTCATTACGAGGAAAAAAAGACAACTCTGGGGAACAGAAGGTATCTGCAAATTGAAGACACACCAATGCATGAGTTTCGAGTGCACATATATACACGGTAGGGATGCGTCCATGTATATACAAAGACACACGCACATATATATATATATATACGATGGAAACTTTAAAATCTTAGAACAAACCATCATGCGTTTATATTTTTCCACAAAAGCCCGATGAACATCAGTGGATTGTGGTGAGTATTGAAGGAGGTTGAAGCCTTGGGTCGCATTGCAGTTTTATTTGGCCTCCGGGTAGAAACGTAAGTGTGATGGCTGCCATGGATTTCAGCCCTCAGAAGCGCCAGCGAGTGCAGTCGACTGGTGCTGGGGAGATTATCATTGAGATTGGTGTCTATGCATTGGAGTCTTCGTATGTGTTCCCGGAGTTCGATGCTGGACAGAAAGTGTATGCTTTGAATTTGAAATGTGACAAGCGGCCGTCACCGTTGGTAAAGGCTGAGGAGACCCTGGAGGCATATCTAGCCAGTGGTGCTTTGCCAGCTTTTGGTAGTGCAGTGGCAGAGTTGGTGCCTGGGTGGCAACTGTGTGTGTTTTGTGCATCATCTCCAATTCAGTGATGGCGCAGTCAGTGAGAGAGGTATTCTAGGTGGAGTTGTTCGATGGATGATTTCCAGCACATATATATGTTGTATATGGTGGGAATACTTTGTAGGAGTTGCTGTGGAGGGTTTATGTTTGGCTGACAGGTGGAGTCGCAGATGATGGTACGCTTTGAGCGCGCGAAGCCGTGGCGCTGCACGTTGTTCACGGTGCTCAAGAATGTGCCGTCTGGCTGTCACCTTTTGAGCGAGTGGCTGTGCTGGCGGGTGAAGCAGGCGGATCTGAAAGGGCACGACTATTCAGTCCCTTGGATCAATTCATGTGGTGGAGTAGGCGGCTGATGTATTGTCGATAGGATTCTGAAGTGTCCAATGAAACTTGGTAGTGCGAGAAGTATCTAAAGTACGGACCAGCGATTTGCTGCAGCTCACTTAAGGTAGCTCCGTGTTATGGAGCCTCTCAGTATGGGAACAAGACACCTCTTTTTTCTTTAAATATGGGATCTATAAATGCGGATAATGTGGTATATCTGGACGAGATAGGTTTGTAATGGGGAAACCTCTGCCTTGGTTCCAATGAATTGGTGTTGGGTAGTTTCTCATGGGTCAAAGATGGCAAAGTTTGGTTTTGCTTGGAGCTGGATCATCACTGGAATATGCCAATCTCACCAGACATTTACCTCTCAATCTTGTGTGAACATTGTTAGCCACGTTTTCTTTCGGCTCATGGAAAAGGGGAAAAATGTGCCACTTCTGACGGTGAAGCTTTGTTCAGGTACACGTGATAGTCATGGGGGAGGTGCCTGTGCCATTGGCGACCTGGGCTCACCAGAGCCGTATTCCTGCAAGAGTGGACGGCACGGGATTGGAAGGGGCCTGGGCTCTGACAGTGGCACCGCCGGGGTGGCAAGGCCATGTGAGTGTAGAGATTGAGATGGCGGAGGAGGTAGCGGGGACCATGGTGTGCTGCAAATTGCGTGGCTATACGTATCCCCTGAGAGCAGTTCTTCAGTGGCAAGGGCATTGGGAGGATCCTTCTGGGCGCATTTTGGCGGAGAAACAGGTGAATGCGAAGTATGTGCAGGTGTCACCATGGATGAACTACAAGGAAGCGGTGGAGACTTTGTCAGTGTTGCGCACCGTGTCCAAGACCATTGAAATTCATGGCGGAACGCCAGATTTGAAGCAGCTCCTGTTGCAGAAGATGGCCTTTGGCGCTGAGGAGGATAAGGAGGAGGCACCGGTTGGAGGCAATTAGGGCGCAGGGGAGATGGTAGCAAAAGCCTTGTATAGATGCCGGTTTGAAATAAGATAGGTTGGTGATGTCAAAGTTGGTGCTCCGTAGCACAGGTTCTGGCACAGACTTGAGTTCGATGGAACTATGCAAGTGGTCAGCTGCGTTGGACCTTCCCAAGTTTGTTCAGGATCTGCAAGCGATGTGGCTCGTGATTTGTTGATTGTTTTTTGTGTTTGGTGGAGAAGAGCTATGCAGCTGCGTAGACGCTTTTGAATGCGTTTGTAGAGCTGGACGAATATCTCTGGTTGATAAACTGGCAATAGAGAGGTTCACTAAACAAGTTGTAAAATGGTATTCGAAGCAGCTCGTGTAGACATGCAATGCCGTATTGACAGATTTGTACAGTTAGCACTTTTTCTGCGGCCTGCGGAAGAAATCTTTCTGCAAGTTGTAGATGTTGAATTGGTCATTTGACATGAATGGCACACGTTGATCTCTTTGGTGTATCTTTACTCTATTTTATGGTTGATTCTAATTTGAGGGTTGAGTGCATGTTCCTGTCAGCATTGAGTGATCAAATGTGGCACAGCGTCTATGCTCAATACCGCCTCAGTTGAATGCATTGAACGCGGTGATGTTACGGGCCCTTGACAGGAACGTCGTAGAAAGCTGGGAGGTCCGGCCTCGATGCGCTAAGGGTGGGCAAGGGTGAAGCAGCTTGTAGCGATATCAGAGACATCCAACATCAGCACGTATCCGGTGTATGTCCTTCCTATACGAGATATCCTGACCTGTGATAGTTACAAGTGAGCATTAGAGATACAAGCATCGAGTGAGATAATCAAATCCTTCATCTTTAGGGTTTCATTTTTAGTGATGAACCACTCTGTACCTATCTGAGTTTACTCCCAATTCCTGTAATGTTTTCGATGTTCTCGCTGCGAGATCAGTGTCACTGCTATGTGTTCGACAGTGGGGATTCGAGGTGCATCATTTTGGATGAACATGGCCTATAAAGATGCATTCAGTTGATGTTTGACTAGGTTAATTTACCGGTCAAAAAAGTATGGTGATTTGAAAACTAGCTGTGGTAGTTGACTGGAGGCTACAAAGAGGTTTCACAGCTGGACTGAACTCCCTGATTGTTTTCCTGTCTCAAGATTTGATGGTTGCAAAACTCATTGCGTCATTTCCTCCTATATTTTTGTACTCAAATACGTTTTCCTCCGAATCAAATATCCAATTGTTTGCGCGCGTGCGCGCAGACCCCATCAGCAATGAATGTTTTTCGAGGAGGTGAGGTATTGTACACAGAATGTTTTGCATAAATGTTTTGGCGCGAGAAAGTCAATATATTTTGCATCATTTACCCTTCATCATAATTTATATAGATACATATACATACATGGTTGGAGGCAGATGGATAGATAATTTGATAGATGGAAGGAGAGATCGATAGGTAGGTATGAAATGATATGTAGATATGCAGGAACTTACAATATCATACTAATTGAGACGATGTTTCCCAACTGGGACCCTTTGCCAGGTGAAGGCGGATTGCGATGAGTGGGGAATCTTAATGGAAATCGTCATGGGAGTCTGTGGTTCTGGTGGTATGGATTGGTTTTGGGATAGTTGGATTGGTTTTGGGAAAATTGGAGGTTGCAAGATGTTGCAACCAGATCTACCGTTTGGTCAGCTAGCAGGTTACTATCAAGAATGGCCTATTGACAGTGGATTTAGTGTAAGTTAAGTCAAATCCATTTAATCTTTGCTGTTTTTTTTCGGGATCTCTCTATTGGATGATAATCCCCATATATATATATGTATATACATTTATGATATAATGTGTATATGTATATTTATATTTACATATGTATATACATATACATAATATATATATATATAATTTATATATATATATATCACAATCAAAGACTGTTCCATGTTCTAGTCATCATATAATTGTTGGATCAAATAAATGGCACGTCGAAACTACAAGCTTCAATAGCTCCACCGCGGGGGTCAAGGTGGAGGTATTTTTTTGCTGTTCAATCGTGCTGGATGCTTGTACACAATTCTTGGATTTCAATAGCTCCACTCGAGGTCACAATGATGACATCAAGCAGCTAATGTCACAGGTGTCTGTGGTCATCTCTGATCACCGGACGTGAGCAACGTTTCTGAAACCGTCTCGAGGTTGAATCTTCTCGGCAATGTCCTTTCTGGCAAGCTTTCGCAGCAGCTGCAGGGATGCCAAAATCAAGGATGATATCGGTGGAAACTGAAGCAAATGAGTTTTTTTGCTTTGGGAAGAAGGGGAGATACTATGTGAGATACTGTCTGAGATTCTTGATATATCTTGATTTATCTTGGTATAGCTGGATATATCTTGATATGGTACATTTGAATGGATGATTTTGAAGGTTGGAGCTCTAGAAGCATCCCAGGAGCTTGGAATTGGGTCCCCTGTATATCAACTTGCGTGCCACTGGTGGCAACAAGTAAAAACACGAGGTGGGGCTACCGGTGGTCTGCTCGACAGGGGTCTGTCTTGCAAAAGTAAATAGGGAATAGAATCTGGGAAACTAACAGATTTATCACCGAATTTCACCGTCTTTCAGGAAAAGGATCATGAACCATCAAAATGTGAGTTGTATTCCATCATTTTCGGATAACGACGACACACCTACGTCTATCCTAATCTTGATCATCAGTTTGTCCAAAGAATCTGGATAGACTGTTTGTTTCATAGCCTCAGTGGCATGGAGTGGTCCACCGGAGCAGATGAGTCCTTGGGGAGTCGCTCATGGTGTAAAAATGAGATTCACAGATATGTACACATAGACACACACATATATGTATATATATATATCTACATGTCAGGCTATTCTTATGATGTTATAGAAGCTCGATATACTTGCACATATATTATATGTCTGTACATAAATTGATTGATTGATTGGGCCTCATAACATTGTGAGCGGGATTAAAGTGAGATAGGTAGTTTTTTTTTTTAAATGAGTGCTTAATGTTCAGAGTTTAAGCATGTTGGAACTCAACAGTATAAGTTGTTTTGTTCTTTTAAAATTGGTATGCACTCAACTATGGCCATGTCATATTACCCATGGATCCAGGTGTACCCTAGTCATGCCTCAGCCAGGCCTGCACTGCTGTTGATGCCAACAGTTTCAGCCGAGGGGCTCAATTCCACCACTGAGGAAATTCCTCGCCTTTCACTGAACCCCTTACCCTCTGGTAAACTAACATAACTGTGGAAACTCACCATTTTATAGCTGGGTAAATCAACTATTTCTATGGCCATTTTCAATAGCTATGTAACAAATTACCAGAGGGTAAATCATCAAAGGTCTTTTTGTGAGACGCCTCGGACCGTTGGGAACACAATCAGATCAATCAGCCTGAGGTTGCGGTGCCTTCTTTACCATGTCCAATGTGGCAATTTGGCCCGTTGAAGAGGACCAGCTGCTTGAAAAGCTCAGGTGAATCTGATTTGGTGTAGACTGTTTCCGTGACTCTCCTTGACTCATATGATTGCATGATATATAATTTATGGATATTTATGGACTACCAATCTGATTTCTGATTTTGGAAACCTTGTATACTTCTTTCCATCAATGCTGGTGCTGTCTGGAAGATGGTTAGGACATTTCCTTCACTGTAGTATACCAATGAAACTGGTCACCACTTCCTACAGTGTCATCATAAATCATCATGGCTGTGAATCAAGATTGGGTATCTAAGAGTGAATCCGTTACCCTCTGGTTATTTAACATAGCCATGGGACATGGCCCATAGAAATAGATGGTTTACCATGGTTCACTTATTAACATGGTGGATCTTTCAATTTTTTCCATGGATTTGGTGTCCTTTGTGGATCAGTTGGGTTTTCGATTTGGGCCACCAGGACTTGTTGATGGCCACGGATTTCGAAAAGACCTTCTCTGACAGCACCCTGGAGCCGGTGATGTACATCTCAGAGGCGCTGGGATGCAGCAACGCTGGTGACTATGGGATGATGACTCCCATTATAGTTGGGATGTATACATTTGGGAATGGATCGCAATCATATCCTGCCGAAAGTGGATGACATCCAATAACAAATCCAATACCAAGCATGACCATTAATGCGGGTCCATACACCAAATTGTTGAGCCATAGTCCATAGTTTTGTATCAAGCCCACCCCCTGGTAATTTAATATAGCTACGGAATGTCAGCATTTTGATAGATAAAGATCTTCAAAGGAGCTATTAAAAGCATAGCCATTTTAAATTACTGGAGGTAATGGGGGACCAGTCCAGGACTCTTTGGCTTTGTTGGCTGCTGCTCCAAGAGAAGCCAAGCTCTCAGATTCGCCACCGGTCGCTTGGTACGAGTCATGAGTCTGACTTTTTGGAATGTAAATAAAATACCCATAAAGACCCCAATTCATAAAAGTGGCACATGATTTGTTCCTCACATTTTCCCTTTGATGTCCAACCATTTGCAATGATCTAAACATTCTCCAATGGCCTATCTGCCAGGCCGTTGATTCGCTCCTGGACCTTTGCTGCGGCAGCGGCGTACAAGGCATCGTGGCGCTGCGCTACTACGCCAGCAGCGCCAGCTTCGTGGCCCGGGGTCCCGAGGGTTGCCGAGGATAGCCTTTCCAAGAAATGAGGATATACAGTGCATTTAAAATATTCAAATATCTCATCATTCTGAAGTCGAATATTATTGGACTTCTTGTGTGTTTCAAGGCTGAGTAGGATTTATGAGGACCTCTGGCCCAAGGACCGGAATTCTCGTTCCCCACGGTTCGTGCGCTTCAACTTGGCTTTGAACTGCCTGGCGCACAAGGCGCCTGGACATGTTGTTTGTAAATGTTTTTAGGAAGTTCAGCGATGGGTAGGAAATTGAAGATCCCAGGACAGTCACAGGAGAATCCCAGCCATACTTGTGGGTACTTTTGCATGTTCAGCACTTAGTTGCTGTACTCGAAAAAATGCTGCTTGAGGGTATCAGTTGGTCAAAGTGATAATCTGATAAACTTGATAAGATAGCCCTTTGATTGTTTGTACCCCCCAAGAATGCTAGATTTTTCCTGTTAATATCCGTCACCCATAGGAGTTAGCACCCAGAATCGCAGGCCGAAGGCATTTTTGAGGGTAACCTCTATGATGCCTTGCCACCACGCATTGTCCTGCAATCTTCAGAGAGTTTGGGGTAAATTGACGACTCTGCAGTTTGTGGAGGTTAAGTAGATAGGAGGGCCATCGTTGCTGCGACTGCCATGCTTCGTTTGGTAGGAGTCGTGGATATGCAGCATCAACAGCTGTTCCAAAAAGCGGATCAGTTCAAGGCGCAGCTCAAGAAAGACTTGGGCATCAACGTGGAATATGATGGGAAGCCAAATGGACCTGCATCGTATTCATGGCAATTGCCTGTGGATCCTGGAGAACGAGCCCGGCTGAAGGCAGCCGTAGAGGCCAAGTTCACCGTCGAGGAGGTCGAAGTTATGGATGTAGATGCATCAGCACCAAGTCAACCGGAGGGCAAAGGGTATGTTGTCAAGATTGATTTGATGGCCAACAGTTTGCTAGGGCATCTTCGTGGCCGAGCAGTACGCGATGCTGTATTGGGCTCCTTATCACCCATGCCTGCTGGGGCTGTGCCTTGGTGATCATGGTCACGTTTGTTTTTGTGCTAGTTGATGGCTGGTTGAAGACTTTGTGGGCATTGGGGTTAGGTCAAACTGAAGCAAGTAAAGGGGCCAGAGTCGGCTGTGTCAATGGCTTTCGATGGGTTTGCGTGGCTGAGGTGCTGGGGCATGCTGTAGTCATCGGTGGAAAAACGTTGAAGGTGCATTTGAGTGATGTGACATTAGCTGCCTGGGATGATCTACACAAGAAGCTTCAGGCGCATGGATATGTGCATGTGTTGGCAGGTGAGGCACTCCAGGAGCAGCGCAAGCGGGATGAGGTGACCCGTGCCAGTAAGATGAGGCGAGCTGAAATGTTGTCCGATGTGGAAAGCATGTTGGCTGGCACGCGAGAGCTTGCAGAGTTGCATGGAGTCGGTGGCAAAGGCACCAAGCGACGTAGGTTTGCTAGGGTGCTTGGCCGGTGCTTGGATCGCAGTTCCAGGGTTGCAGCCTACAATCTGAGAGAAGCCGAGGAGGAGAACCCGGACTTGAGTGATGATGCTGACTGAGTATAGAGGGGTTGGTCTCGCGGATTGTTTGAAGGCCTCGACGGCAGTAGCAATTTTGTATAGATGCCGGTTTGAAATAGGATAGGTTGGTGATGTCAGATTTGGTGCTCCGTAGCACAGGTTCTTGCACAGATTTGAACTCGATGGAACTATTCAATTGCAACAATTTGTCACGATGGCTTTTTGTGGCCTTGTAGATGGACTTGGTCAGCTGCGTTGGACCTTCCCAAGTTTATTCAGTGGGTTCTGATTTATTGATTGTTCTGACTTTGGTGGAGAAGAGCTATGCAGCTGTGTAGACGCTTTTGAATGCGTCATGCAATGCCGTATTGACAGATCTGTACAGTTAGCACTTTTCTGCGGTCTGCGGAAGAAATATTGCTGCAAGTCCAGATGTTGAATTGTTGCGTTGAAATGATTTGAAATGAATGACACACGTTGATCTCTTTGGTGTATCTTTACTTTATTATATGGTTGATTCTATTTTGAGGGTTACGTGGATGTTTCTGCCTGCATTTGGTGATCAAATGTGGCACAGCTCATATGCTCAATATTGCCTCAGTTGAATGCATTGAACGCGATGATGTTACAGGCCCTGGACAGCAACGTCGTAGCAATCTGGGAGGTCCGGTGTCGGCTGCGCTAAGCTTGTAGCGATAGCAGAGATATCCAACATCAGCACATATCTAGTGTATGTCCTTCCTATACGAGACATCCTTACCTGTGATTGTTGCAAGTGAGCATGTCGTTCTGTGTGGCTAAGAACAATATCCCAGTTCAAGTAACATTTCTGGGTGTACCAACAAATTTGTCATCCATCTTGATCTGGCAATGTTCACTAGCATGTTTTTCATAAATGTTTTGGCGCCTAATAGCTTGAAATCAGGTGGTCACCACAGCTGCTGACGATGATCCCCAGCTTCGGCTGTCGTCTCAGCGAGACGCCCGGTCTAGCTGAGACGCTGCGATGGCGCACGGCACAGGACCTGCAGCTCTAATGCGGTGGCTGCTGAAAAGGTGCTGAAGTGGGTTGATTTCAGTAGCTTCATACGTTAGCCTGGCTGATTGAACTATGGTTCATAGATGGTTGATACATATCTATAATTGTCTATCGCATTATAGCCAAGTATAGGTGTCCTTCACTGTGGTTTTCTTTGCTTAACTCTAGTTAAAGGAAGCCTTGGTGGTAGATCGAACCGGTGCACGGGCTAACCAACAAACATCACTGGGGGTTACTACCAACAGTACGAGTTCATGGATGAATTGATGGGGCTACTTTCCAGGGATTGCCAGTTTTTTGAGTTGAAAATGGTGATCATTTGTCGTAAATCTTCTGAAGATTTTCACAGCTGATGAGCAACAGCTACCTACACATGTATCCGTTATTCCGTTATTAATAATCCAACGATTAGTTTATGTATTTTTATTGGCCATGAATAGATAAGTTCAGTCGGGTATCAGTTGGTATGATCTCTGGCAAACTATTCAAACTGATGAACCTATGAATGTATGTCTCCATTATGTCGAAAACATGGAAGATGGGATGAGCCGGATAATGTTGGCTTCCGGATTTCCACTATCCGTACTGTAACGCAGCCATACCCCGTGGAAACGCTATGGGCCACCTACAATGGTGGGCAGGTTCGCCAGTCATTTCATGATTTGTTTGGGTTCAAACCTCGGACGGGAGTATGTGTTGACCAGCAGTTTCTTCGAGGTGCCTTCCTCACCTTACCCATGTTGTAATTCTTTGCTTTCATGTCTGCTGCCCTTCATGGGCTTTGCGGCTATTTGGGTTGACGCAACTATCGCGATGCCTTCTCGGTAAGGTGATATCTCTACCTGAAAGCAGAAGCAGAAGCACAACAATGCATATGCCTTCGAGGTGCTTTACTCTTTTTGGGCTTTGGGTTTGTCATCAATTGTCTTGGATGTTGCAACCCGAAGCTACGACCTTTTTTGCAATCCCGTGCCCCACAAAATCTCCATCTTCGTTGAATTTCGGCTACCCAAAACTGTAGGCCTTTCTTCTGCCTTTTAGCAAAGCCCTTTTGGATACGTTTCCTGGCTGATGTGGCTCGACTCGATTTGGCCTTGCCTCATTCTGCCACATGTTGTGTCCCCCTTGAACTGGTGAAGATCATTGTAACCCAGGTGGAGGAAGATCATTTAGTGACTTTAGTGGCCAATTTTAAGGGTGCAGTACTCCATGTTGACGTTGAATTGCATGGTTTTCAGAATGGTTTTCACCTGTTTTTACAGGGTCAGGAAGATGTTGACTGGACCGTCCGTTTGGTAACTCGAGGATATGCTTTCCCTGCTGGCCAGCGCTAGCACGGAACAAGTCGAGGCCAGGGTCTGGGACTCTGCAGAGTTGCTTCATGGCTTCCACTCGTATCAATGTTGGGACAGTATGGTGATCTTGTTTTGAATTTAGGAGATTTTAGGCCCAATTTTGGAGAACCCTAGATTCTTGCAGATGCCCAGAGGATGTGAAGACCTAAAGCCAATGACAGGCAGCTCAAGACGTGACAGTCGTGGCTACGACACTCCTGCTGTTGGCAGGCCTGGCAGAGAGAGCAAATTCAATACCATTGGGCCCACATAGACAAAGGCTCGTCATTTTTTTGTATTTATATGTATTTATATTTAACGTCCAAACATGCGCAAAATGGGGCTCAATGCCATGTTAGGATGAAGCATTGCACTTTCATTTTGGTTCAAATGGATTGCCATTGCCGGATCATTATTCATTATTCCAGAACTTAAACGAATTGTGTTCATCTTCATAATAAACTGTTATTTTTTTTATCATTTCAATGAGAATTTCAGGATCCTAAAATGGAGGTACTGTACCGTATAAAGCCATATTTTGGGTCTATATCCCCTTATATAATTACATAGCCCTAAACAATAGGCCTTATATATGGTAGGTACCTCCAATTTTGGTACCTGAAGTGGCCATTGATTTCCAAGCCACTGCCCACCACAGCGAAGGTGGTGCGAGTTTGCTGAAGCAGCCCTGGGGTATGCAATGGTAAACAACTAATGATAATGATAGGATATGATAGGACATAATCGGATATTATAGGATAATGATATAATGAATGATTATTAGGAATGAATGAATATATATATATAAGTTAATCCAAATTGCAATAAACACATATAAACACTCTCCAACATATCTTTAAAGAATGTCGTGCTGCATAGTGCTGCCAGGACAGCAAGGTGGATGAATCCCCACAGATCAATTGGCGGAAGACAGTGGCTGGGCCAACAAAAAATTGCGGCTGGGGAAGCGGGGCTCAATGGGGATGTTTGTGATATCCAATGATATCCAATGATCATGCCAATGAGATCCAAAATTGGCGGATTATCCTCTGGTGAACTAACATAGCAATGGAAAATCACCATTTTTAATGGGAAAATGACCACTATTTCGACTGGGCCATTTTCAATTGCTATGTTAGTTCACCAGAGGGCAAAAATTATTGTAATCCCATCATGCCAATGATATCCAATGATCATGATTGTTCCCAATTTCTTCATGATTATTCCAGCTATCAGAAGTATCCCAAGTATCATATGTGTTCCAAGAAAATCTCAAAACAAGTCCACTTATCATGAGTCCCAATGATCAGAAGCACCCCAACTATATAGTTATCCCAGCTATCATTCCAATAGTCACTTCAATAGTATTAATCATGTGTAATCATCCTGTAGCAAAAGGGACAAATAGGATGTCCTGCAAATGGAATTAGTTTGATGATGTCATGATGTGTGATAGCTTTCCTATCGGGGATAGTCACTCTAGATTTGACAAAAAAATACTCCAGGATTCCAGGATAGGTGTGCAGCATCCCAAACACAGTCTGGAGTTGGCTACCTTTGAAGCAGCTTGGTCAGAATCCCTCTTGAACACCACTTTAACCACAGCTGTTATGCAAATTATTCCGAGATGTCAGACTCTTTGAATGTGGTTTTCTCATTCTCGTCTTGAGACCCGGTCATTGAAAGGATGGCAAACATTAAAATACGGACTTGTCATATATACATAAATACATACTTATAATATGTCATTATCATCATGTATAAATTATTTACATATGTATAATCTATGTAATAATCTATGTAATAATTTATGTATAATCTATGTATATAGGGTTAGTCAAAACCCCTATTGATTTCCATTGGCGTTGGTCAAATCCCCCTTCTGATTTTCTTGTTCCCCGTTGGATTCACATCACGGAAAAACGGTCCAGGACGCGGATCAGCTTCAACTTCCCGAGTTGCGCGAGGGTGAGGCAGTGGCTGCGATCTTTACCCGACAGGTGGTTGATGATGGTTGATAATTATGTGATTATGGGTCATTAATATTTTGATGATTATGATGATTATATTGACCATTGTATATCAACATACATATGGTTAATTATATATCAACCAACCAGGATAGTATGATGTAACATGTAAATATATATATATATATATTCGGGGAGTATATGTGATCATTTAGCTCCGCCAGACTCGTCTAGTCACTGGTGAGCCCCCGAGGCTCTCTATGTCAGATAGTCAGTTGACGTGGATCACACGAAATTGGTGGTCTTTGGCGGGTTAAGATGAAGTTATTTTGTGGGTTGGTCCAAAATGGTATTTTTGGGGGGTACCTAGTAAAATCATAGTAAAAAAACTGTGTTCAAGAAACACATGTTTTTGCTGATTTTACTGTAGATGGCTTCGTTGGGTTAGCCCAAAATGGTGTAGGCCCCCGAATGGTGATTTAAATCTGGACCATGACGGTCGCCCATTGGATTTCTTAGGGGTATCGCAATTTTCGACATGCCTATCAAATAGGCTGTTGTATGCGTGCCTTCTTTTGGGCTCATGATTTATTTGCGAGTTTGTGTGGGCAGCAAAAGAGTTTGGTACTGTAAACGCTGGAAATCACGTGCGCTTGTAATATGGTTCGGTTTATTGAGCCATTACAAAGCGTGAATACGATACTATAATTTGATACTCAATTACATTATCATATATATATATATATTATCATATATATATATTATCATATATTATCATATATTATCATATATTATCATATATTATCATATATCATTATATATTATCAACATCACTTAAGCATACTTAAGCTTACACAATAATATGATTGGATATTCTACAACTAAAAGGCGATCAACTCTTCCCCATTGTTATTTGGAACGTCCTTCGGGATGCCAGGTTGACCGATGTACTCTCTTACGCTTCTTACGTGCTGAGAAGGGCAAGCCAGGATCCCCTGCTGAAATGTGGCACCATTGGAGCCATGGAGTATCATCCATATTGGACATTTCCACAGGGCAATTCGATTAGGACATTTCAATTACATTTCATAGGTCACATTTTACTATAACATGTATATCTAAATGCTATATATGATCGTCGATCTAAAGCTCCATGTTTAGAGATAGTCCATTACAAGGCTGCCAGGGTTTCAATATGAGAGCCCGCGACAGATAATCGTGGGGTTCGCGAAAGATTCACGAAAGTAATTGTTTTATTCGCGAAGAATGGTCGTTTGCAGATAAAGGAATTTAGATCAACTGCCATTATATATAAAATTATGTGTATATATATATATATACATGACGTAATATACACAATATGTGTATAATCAATTAATCAATGATATATATATATACATATACATATATATATATATAGACATACATATATATATATATACAGTATATATAATAATAATATGCCAAACATCCTCCAGTCCAAAGATCAGCCGTCCCCGAAAGCTATCCACCATCAACTTTGGGGCTATCCTATTTTCAGACAACCCCACATCTAGCAGTGTACGGCAAAATGGGTGCTCACAAAACAATCATAGGTAGATAGAAACACATTAATTGTGCATAATCTTGCGGCTATTCCCAACCATGAGAAGAATATGTCAAATATTCGGGTTCCCAAAGAAATCCTCCTTTCACGGTGTCTGGACTTTAATCTCAGCTCAGACTCAGATCGGAGTCAGCTCTGGTCCAATATTCACGTCGCTTCGCGACGGCAACCGCCCGCACCGCATCGTTGGGCTCACACAGCAGGGGCATTGAGACCAAAAACATCCGAAAGTACTGATTGTCGGAAAAAAAAACGCGAAGAATTTGATGGCCATGTATAGCGGACCAACGCAGTTCAAAAAATAACTAAAAACATGAAAAAACGGCGAAATTGCTGTTATTTACAGTGTTTTTGCGCGGTGAGAAGCAGAAACCACTGCAAATACCATGGTTTTTGAGGGTCAGGTGGCCAAAAACACTGTAATTTACAGTGTTTTTTAACCAACGTCAAAAAACACTGGTATTTACGATGTTTTCATTCACACCGTAACATAAAACAGCGTAATTTACGAGGTTTTTGGAAGTTTTGAAGCTAGCCGTCAAGCATGCAGAAAACAGAAAAACACTGTAAAAACCAGTGTTTCTGCTATCACAAAACGACGAAAATCAGTCCGAAAACGGGTCCAAAAACTCAAAAATCCGCCTCCGGGCCCGGCCACCTGCGGAACCGCAAAAAAAGATGTTGCAAACCAAAAAATTGAGGTCAAAAAGTTGAAAAACACGGGGTTTTTCACTTTTCGCTTGCCGATTTTGGACGGGCGCGTTCACGAACAGGTGTCTTCCGTACTGTTTTTTACAGTGTTTTTTGAAGGCGAGCGTCACGACCTATCAAAAACAGGAGGTTTTGGCCGAAAAATGCCCCCCCCCCCCAGGTAAACCTGTAACCTTTTACGAGTGCCATCCGGAAGATCACGCCCCAGCACCTTCGGTGCGGGCGGATTTTGAAGAAGGATTTCACAGTTATAACATGTTCTAAACAATCATGGGGATTCAAAAAAGGCATCCCCATTTTGGTGACATCTTAAAATAAAAACGGATGTCACCTTTGCTGCGGATGGGTCGAGAAGGATGCCTGGATGCCTCCAGGTGTCGTCGTACCCTTTGATCATCTCGCTCTATGCAGGGCGCAGCTTGGAGGAAAATCAGGGGGATTCAGGGGGAAGCTGACCATGGGGAAACCATGACGGAATTGGATGTTTTTTTTTTTTCAGGGAACCTGTCCATAAATCAGAAAAACCTAGAAGAACCATAGAAAAACCGCAGAAGAACCATAGAATCGACTTGAAGCCGACGGGCCGTGACGAGGTCGAGGGGAAGACATGACTGGCTTGGGAGGCAACTGAAGCCCAGTTGGAGCGAGGGTTGCCACCTGGCGATGTTCTGGCAACACTCAAATTTTCCCCGTGTTCCTTGGCCAAAAAGAAACCAGTGACGTGGTTCATTACACCATCAAAATTGATCCAAGCTGTTTATTTTTTGCTTATTCTTGCTTTTGATACTCAAAAGAAGTGCCTTTCGTCCGCCAAGTTTGTGGTTGCGCCCTTTGAAAAGTGGCAAGCTCTACAAATTGAAGACCCCAATTATGAAAGTACACTTATAATATAATCTTATATAGGCATGTTACTATTTCCCAAGAACGGTTTATTTTATTCCCATGAAACCTGAAACAGAATGGTCAAGAAACATCTCACAACTCATGGCTTCCAGTGGTTTCCTGAACATTTTGCCATTGACGTTCTTTTTCCAGCGCCAGGTGCCGAGAGTATCGTTCGCTTTGCCAAGGAGCAACACCGCAAGGCGGGTTCTACTTCAGGGGCGCGGGCCTCAATGGGTTCATACCCCCAACATACCCCAAGTAATATATAGAATATCCCCACTTATATATGGGATTATATGCGATTATGTGACCACTTACTAACTAAGTAGGATGAACATCCTGCGATTTTTTCATACCAAATGGGTGGATTTTCCATCACTGAGGCTAACGCACGTTTTTATCTATCGGGGTCTCTTTTTGGAAAAAAAACAGGCTTACCCTCTGGTAAACTTTCATATAACTATGGAAAGATCCACCATGTTCAATGGGAAAATCCACTATTTCAATGTGGTATTTTCAATAGCTATTTTGACATAACCAGAGGGTACTCACCAGTTTGAAGACATAGGATGATCCTCCAAGAGTTTCCGGAACTTCACCTGGGAGGTAACTCACCAAGTTTCACCGGTGAACTTTTTGGGCGATCGAGACAACGAGACGAGACTGAAGATGTTAGGTATTTGATGGTATTTTCCTAGCATTAACCGGCAAATAACTCTGAAAGTGCAATACC